CTGGCATTGGCAGCTCATGTTCATCTTGGAGTCAATAATGACTCCAAGATCCCTTTCCGCCTCTGTGCTCATAAGGTGGGAGCTCCCCAGCTTGTCACTCCACCCTCTTCTTGTGCCTTACAATGGGGAGCTGTTTGGCTCCTGGGTGCTCTGCGACCAGATCCAGTGTTCTTCTAGACACATTTGGTCAGAGGCTGGAAGCATGATGAACTTGATGACCCAGGAGTCCCTTCCAAGCCTATGTTTTAAAACCTGCCAAAGGATGAGGTTCATCTCTAGGAAAAGGGGCTTCAAGGCAGAGCTGAAAAGGAGCTTCTGTAGTGCAGAGCGTGGCATTAGTACTGCATTACCACCTCTAGCATTGCATATCTAGGCCACAGCTGAGATCAGGACCCCCTTGTACTGGGTTCCAGGTGAGACACAGTCATCAGCCCAAAGAGTTTACAGTCTCAGGAGACTCATCTCACCACTGGAGACTGGAGGAACAGAGAGATTAAGTGACTGGAGGCACAGGGACATTCAGTGACTTCCACAAGGTTCAAGTCCAAGTCTACGAGACAGGAGGGAACCACACTATGACCTCAGTCCCAGCCTAGTGGCTTTACCAGCCTTCTGGCTTTATCCTGTGAAGCTGTGACATCCATGTTCTAAAGGTGTAGAAGGGGCACAACCCAGAAAAGACTGAAAGTGTAATGACTCTGCCCCCTTCTGCCCACATGCTAGGAAAATGGGTCTCTTTCCCCAAAGATACACTGCTGAATTCAGTGCAGCTTGAAGTGGAGAAAGGCAAAATTGCTCTGAAATTACCTTCCGGTTTTCCCTTACCCTGCAGCCACCTGAGAGCTAAACTGGCTACAGTGAGTTTAACTGCAAATAAAGCAGGAGCCTGGGGATCACTTTGTCCTGAGGTCCTAGAGGGTGAAATGGTGAAGCCTGGCTAGTATTACCATTTTAAAGACTTTATAAACAGAAACCAGTGGTGTAGGCACAATGTACTTCACACATGTGACCTGAGCCTGAAGGCATTTACAGACAATTTATTAGATAGTGTTTTAAAAAAACTGTAACAATCCTGGGATTTATTTTTTCTAAAACTTGCTACTACCTGGAACATCCTCCCTTCTACATTAATAAGACTCCCCACAACTCACCTGCCCATGCACAATGGAATTTCCCTTGTTTTGCTCTTCTTAAAGAAGCAGAAGGTACATTAGGGCATAAAAGAGTTCTCTCAAGACTCCCAGGAGGAGACTTTTAGTGCTGCCTCATGGGATCTGGACACCAAATACCAAGCACAGGGCTCTGGGTGCTCAGACCCCCCTAGGGCAGCACTGGAAATCTTAGCTGCAAAGTAGGTACGGCCTCCTGGAAGCATCAGACAGCAGCAGCCAGGGGCAAAGTTCTCTCAGAGCTCATCTACAACATCCCAAGAGGTGGCCAGATAGTCAACACTGCTCAGCATCTAAGCTAAGAAGACTGCACTGAGGTATATTCAGCAAACCTGCCCTTAGGTGTGAGTGCTAATCCTTTGAACATCTGTCCTGGAAAGCTGGCTGGGATGCTTCCTCTCTCGGTTCCCACTCCTTCCTCCTCCCCCAACCTTGAAGTAACCCCAGGTTCTCTTGTCCAGGTCACCTCAGCCTGGAAACAGGACTGGCTCCCATTGGCTAGGGCCACCTGGATCTAAGACACTATCTTGGAAGAGAAGGGGCAGTGGTACAATGGGGACATTACAGCATCTCTCTTAATGCTGAGGTGCAACATCTACAGGAGCCTCTTGACCTTGAAAGCTTTCTCAGCTCAGACCCTCTGGCATGCAAAGATTTACCGGGGAAAAGGGTTCAGGTTTCCTCTCCTAAGGGCTCTCTCCTAAATGCTATTTGGGAAAAGGGTTCAGGCCTAATGTTCCCCTTGCCCAGAGACTTGCACACAAAACTTTACACGTCAACAAACAAAACTGTCGTTCGTCCTTGTAGTCTGTCTGTCTCTCTTTGCTGGTCACAGTGACAAAGGCTCTTGTTAAAAAATATGCTAAAATTATTATTTGTCACAATCTTGGCTTGGAAAAACCTCGCTTATGTGGGTGAGGGTGGGAAAAAATATGATGCCACAATGATTCCTGAGTTGATTCCATGTCTGACGAGAAAAATAAACCCAATGTAGTCAGTGTAAGGAGGCATCAAAGGCAAACCCATCGGTCCAGGCTGTTGGAAGGGTCCTGAAGGCAATTGCTCTTGGGAGGGAACGTTACTCTAGGCATTGAGAAGCTGGCACAAGCTATTGCCCTAGATGGAGGGAGGTGAGCTGTGAACCCCCAGCCTTGTGTGAGAAGCTCCTGTGCCATTCATTGCAGATGTTCTGGGCAAAGGCCTTGTGCATATAGTTGTCTGTGGTAGTTTTGGTGATGCCTATCCTTGGAGCCTGGTCCCCAGTCATCTCCCCACAAAAGCTGGGTAGGCTCTAGGCAGGACACTTGTGGCGCTTCTCCCCAGTGTGGGTGCGATGGTGCCGGATCAGGTCTGAGCTGCGGTAGAAGCTCTTGCCACAGTCAGCACAAGAATAGGGGCGCTCGCCTGTGTGGATGCGCTGGTGAGTAACAAGGTTGGAGCTTTGGCTGAAGCTCTTCCCACAGTCAGGACAGGTGTAGGGCTTCTCTCCTGTGTGGACGCGGTGGTGAGTGATGAGAGTGGAGCTCTCGGTGAAGCTCTTGCCGCAGTCGGGACACGTGTAGGGGCGCTCACCTGTGTGGGTGCGTTGGTGGCAGATGAGGGTGGAGCTGTCCACAAAGCTCTTGCCACAGTCGGGGCACTGGTAGGGGCGCTCACCAGTGTGGATGCGCTGGTGCCGCATGAGGGAGGAGCTGTCATTGAAACTCTTGCCACACTGGGTGCATTTGTAGTGCTTCTCACCTGTGTGGATCCGCTGATGCCGCATAAGGGTGGAGTTCTCGCTGAAGCTCTTCCCACAGTCAGGGCAGCGGTATGGCTTCTCCCCTGTGTGGATGCGCCGGTGCCGCACCAAGGCCGAGCTCCAGATGAAGTTCTTCCCACAGTCCCGGCAGGTGAAAGGCATGTCGCCCATGTGCACGCGCTGGTGCTGGACGAAGTAGGAGCTGTCACTGAAGCTCTTCCCACACTCCCCACACACGTAGGGCTTCTCACCTGTGTGTGTCTTTTGGTGCCGGACATGGGTGGAGCGGATGCTGAAGCTCTTCCCGCACTCCTCGCAGGTGTAGGGCTTCTCCCCTGTGTGGATGCGTTGGTGCTTGATGAGTGTGGAGCCATGGCTGAAGCTCTTTCCACAGTCAGGGCAGGCGTATGGCTTCTCCCCTGTGTGGATGCGCCGGTGGGCAATGAGGGCTGAGTTCTGGTTGAAACTGTTCCCACACTCTGGGCATTTGTAGGGCTTCTCCCCCGTGTGGATGCGCCGGTGAATGATGAGGGCTGAGCTGCTGCTGAAGCTCTTCCCACAGTCCTCGCACCGGTAGGGGCGCTCTCCAGCTTCACTCCGTGGCGAGAGGCCAATGCCTTTGAGGGGGTTGCAGCCCTTTGCCCGGAGGCCACGTTCACTCCGCCCTTGTGCTGGAGGGTTTCTTTGCTCAGGGCCCCGGGAGACATCCCCTTTGCTGCCTCTTGACACTTTCCCATCTGGCTCCATGGGCTCACAATCTTCCTGCTGGGGACTCTCCTCCTCGCTCTCACTCATGGTCCTGTCATCTGCTGGGACAGAGGAAGATCCAGACAGGTGTCATTCCCTGTGCTGGGGGGAGGGAACCTCAGAGAGGGGAATGAGGAAAGAAAGGAAGAAACCAAAACAACCAGTGTGGAGATGGAAGTATCAGGGGCCAGTTCCCAAGCTGCAAACTCTTCTTTCTTGCTAACAGTTTCCAAGTTAATTTTTCCAATTCTTGCTCACCTGTGCACACCTCACCTAGTAGCTCCTTTTGCTCGGAGCCCAGGAGATCTGGGGCCCACGGTTCTTTCTGTTTTTCCATCCAAGAGACCACACTGGGTTTGGGAACTGGAAATCCTGCTCAGAGAAGAGAAAACCAATGAGATCAGGGTTGGAGATGCACCCAGGTAATATTTATTAAAAAGAAAGATCCATGAATTGTCACCCATCTATATGCTGGGAAGTTGAGGACACCTGGGATGGTCAGATGTCCGCTGAGAAAGAGCTGTGGCCCTGTATAAAAGGATTAGCTGCTATTGAGGATTTGCTGCTACAGAAACAGCCTGAGGTTAAGCCTCTTGTCTCTTACTAAACGTCTCAAACCTGAAGCCCTCTGCATATCTAAGGCAGTAACAGGAAGGGAGGAATAACTCTGACGGTGTGGACAGATTAAAACATTGCAAAGGACCAGATGTCCACATGCACAAGCCCTTTGAAATGTTCTAAACGTGGTTGAAATGCTTCAAAACTCCACTGCTTTACATGATGTGCCTGGTCCTGTTCTGGGTTCAGAGGCACTGCTAGTCCCCACTGGGACCTAGGCCACAACTGGACCCGGAGCTGGGCTGACCCCCTGTGGCTTCCTTTGCCAGAGCTCTGCAGGCTCCTTGCACCAGCAGCAAGGGCCAGGAATCCTTGTTCCCCCCCCTCCCTTTACTTCTTGGCTGGGGTCTCCCCCTGCACTCCTCTACTTATCATCCCTGCCAGGGAAGGGGCAGCAGGGAGCAGAGAGCAGCCATGGGTTGTTACAGCCTGCTCTAGTATCCCTGCAGAGCAGGTTGCAGCATTTGAAACCTTTTAGCTGGGAAACATTTCATAGGTGTACCTATGTACTCATTGTGTTTCATGTGCAGATCTTTCAGTTGTTACTTCTGGCTGCACCCTGAGTGTGTGTGTGCACATGCACCCCTGTGTATGTGTAACAGAGAGAACATGCACAAATATGACAGGCGTGCAGCAGAGGTGAGGAGTGAGTCATGTCAGTGCAAGTGGAGAGTCAGACTTGGTGCTGTGGGAAAAGGCACCAGAATGAAAAGCTGATGCTTTTTAGTTTTCCACAGCTTGAAAGTTCTGAAAACCCCCAACCTGGCACCACTGGACAGTTTTATTGTAATAACATCAGCATGTGTTGTTCTGAGTCTAAACTTTGGATTAATTTTGCTTTGACTTTTACATTAAAATATTAAATGTACTTTAAAAGGTATATGCACATATATGTATATGTTATGCATAGATATGCACATATATGTATATATGTGTGTATATGTATGTATATGTATATGTGTGTGTATATATATGTGTATATGTACATGTCTATGTACATATACACATATATATGTGTGTGTGTAGAATACTCTAGATATATCCAGTTCAATGCTCTCTTTCTATCACATCCGCTTCTGCCACTGTTGGAGACAGAATAGTGGGCTAGATGGACCATTAATCTGACACAGTATGCCGCTGCTTATGTTCTATCTAAATGTGTGTGTGTGTGTTTGTGGGTGTGTGTAATGTGCACACATACATTTTTCAGCCGATAAAAATATTCTAAAGACCAATATTTTTAATACATAAAAGCATGTCATATAAAAGACTTAACAAAACATCAAAATTAAATATCTTGACTTTTTCTCACCAAGCATTTCATTAGAATGAGCAGATCTTACAAAAGCGCTTTGATTTTCGCAAATCCACATTTTTTTGGTGTCAACCTTTCATCCAACATTATTTTCCCAGCTCCAACCACTGCTGTAACTCCAAATCTCTATTCCCACAGGACAGGTGAGAAAGGGACTGTCTCCCACAGACACTATCTGGGGTTGATCCCCATGAAACCTCAGGGACTGGGAAACCCAAGAAGCAAAGCTTGCCTTGGGATGCTCTAGGGACCCAACAGGTTCTAATCACTACAACAAAAACCCTTACCTATGACATCCCTGCAGAAGGCTCTCTGACTGGGGTTCAGCAGATCCCACTGGCCCTCACTGAAATATGCAGGCATCTCCTCAAAGGTCACTGGCCCCTGAAACAGCAAGTGTCTCCCCTTTAGTGCCTGCTGCCCCAGTCACTAGCACTGCAGCTCAGGCAGGTTGACCTCTATTATAACCTATCAACAGGTTATGCCCATCCCCACCTCCCATTAAAGGTATTACTGGTTCCTCTCCTATGCCCAACTCATCACCCCAGGAGCTCCTTGATACACCCCTACCTGAGCTGGCTCCTCTGCAGCCATTTCCCTTCTTCGTCCTGCCAGAGGATGGGACAATCTGAGGCAGTGTGGAAGTTTCTTTTAGGGTGCGAATGGCAATGAGGGAGGCTTCAGGAGGGTCTCCGATCCATTTCAATGCCAGTCTTGTCCCAGGTTTTTCCCCTTGGCAGTAGCAACAAACCTCACACAGCAATCAACATTTGGTCATCCACGCATGCTGCACACATCTGTAGAGAACAGCAAATTTTTCAATTGTAGACACAGTTGGCAGCACTGCTCACTGCTAAGATGCCCTGACACTCTCCTTGGTAACATCCTGTTTGCAGCTGCACACAACTTTCCCAAACTTTATCCATTTGGCTTGGAAATGTCTGTACTGGATGCCTGCTGCAGCCTGACTTGCTCTGTAAAAGGTCAGTCCAAGTAGCTCAGTCATCTGTGTGAAGCAGGCTCCGATTGCCCATATTCAAACTTCCAGAGTAGGGATTTGAAATGTGGCCAGGATGGTCTTTATGTCAGCATGTGCTTTTCACCAGCCCTATGAAAGTCTACCAAAATTTGACCGAATTTTAAGCCTTTGGAAAATTGCTCAGGGGGCCGCATCTATATGAGACGCTGACTGCGCAGTTGTTACCATACAGTTGTTTAGTACTTGCATACACAAGTACTAAAAGACTGTGCAGTAACTGGAATTACTGCACTGTTGCATTACCATGTGACTTTTTGGTGAGACTAACTATGCAGTAGCTCATTACTACTGTCCAGTAGCTTGTTACTACTGTGCAGCAGTGTTGCATCATGCTTCGTGCCATGCAACACTACTGCATAGTACTAACAAGGAACTGCGCAGTCAGCGTCTCGTGTAGACGTGGCCAGGTGTAGGTACGATTCCTACAGATCCCAGCCTCACTCAGCACCCTTAAGATCCCACATGGCTTATGTGACTGATCCACCTCAGTGCCACTTCTCAGGGCTGTGGGGTTAAAGGCATAGGGCAGCACAGAGGCTAGCTGCTTTGTCAGAAAGGTGCCCTGAGCTGCCAGAGAAGGCTGGATTCAGTGTCATAACCTATACACCTATCACCATAAAAATCTCAGCATTTCTCTCATGAGACTCCTGGGGGCTGGGGCAGAGCTCTTTTTCCCATTTTACAGAAAAGGAACAGAGGTGAAGAGGGACTGAGGACGTGCCCAAAGTCACAGAGCTAGGTGCTGGCTGATAGTGTGAGATCTAGGTGGGCTGGTTTAGCAGCTATTTTGAGGTAACTATCAGCAATCTCTCATTGATTTTGGAACTCACGTTTCTTGAACTTTTGCTGGGGTTTGGCTACTCATTTATTATCAGAAATATTTAGGTCATGTTGTCTTAGCTTGAGTTGAGTCCTACTTCTCTTTCTGAACAAATGGTTTAGCTGTATGGGAGGCAGCAACTTCACCGCAGTCTTCTAGAGTCAAATCCCCTTTCGCTTTATGCACCTAAATGGCGTATACGCACTGCAGAACTGCAGGGTCTGGAGCTTCCAAGCAATCTGTGATTCAGCTCCGAATAAGCAATCATCCACCTGCACACCAAGCAGGCTCAGCAGGTCTGTGCTCCAGCCGGGCAGCTGTGTGGCAAAATAGGACTGCCCAGGTTAGTGCAGACTGCTGGGTAAGCCCTGAACTTTTAGGTGCAGAATCACAGTTTGCAACTGTTAGATGCTGGAGGAGGAAGATAGTAGCCTTCTTGCTTAGTGGTTAGGGCACTTGATCAAAGAGCAGGACACTCAGGTGCTAGGCCCCTCTCACCCAGAGGGGGGTTGAACCTGAATCTCCTGCTTCTCAACACAGTGCTTTAACTAGCAAACAGAAATTAGACATTACCTAGTCACTGGCCCACCAGGCAACAGAGAGGGAGATATATGGGGCCTGGAAGCAAATTGTAAAGTAGAGGTTGTGTGTCTCAGTGCAATTGCTCTGGAGGGGTAGAAGCTTTGGGTTCTAGCTTGGACCCTTGCTTCCAATAGCAGATACACTTTTCTGGTGCTATTTGTCCACTAAATATTAAACGCACTGGGCAGTGGCTCAGCTTCAAGAGGAGGGTTGTAGAGGGCCCTGGGTAATGCCTGGCCTGTGACTTGGTCCTTAAAATGCTGTGCTAGGTAGCAGAAAATGCAGATTCAACTCCCTGCCTCCCTAACGGTGAGAGCAAGGTTCTTCTGCTCCCTGAGTAAGTGCTCTAACCACTAGGCTGTTGGGCTAATAGGTGGGGGCTACCACCTCCTCTGCTTTACTTTGCTCAGGGCGATGTTATTCAGTCACAGCAACTAAGTACCAAAACATGAAGTTCTGTGCCACATAGGTGCATAATGTGAACTAGGATTTGGGCCCAAGGGTCTTTGCACTGCACCAAAGACCACCATGACCCTAAACTACAGCAATTCATGGTTAAATTTGCTAGGCTTTTTCATTGCTGTTGTTCCAGGATGACAAGCCCACTAACTACTCTATTCCTGAAATGTAAACAATATTCATATTTTGCTTGAGCTGCAACAGCGAAATCATACTGTGGGAAGAGGATGGCATGGAGATTTTACCTAAGTAATGAATGTTTTGTTCAAAGTTTTGAATCAAGCAACTCATCCTCCCATAGTCAAAATCACATAGCCCTACAGGTGAACCATTTGATTATGCATATACTGTCAAATATTTACATTTTCATACACACATGCATACACGCACGTGTGTGTACCCCACCTCACCTCCCCCAAAGCTGGGAATTTTTCATGAATACTGCCCTATTTGCAGTAGCTTCATATCACAAAGTTCAATGTGGGTTAAATCAGGGGTGTCAAACTCATCTGGCACTGGATCAGACTCATGGACCACCTTCCAATGCCAGTTTGAAAGAGGATCAGAGGGTCTTTGACTGTCAGCATGGGAAAAAGCTGCAGTGCTGGGCTTCTTCCTAGGGTACTGCTGGGGTCCCAGCATTGTGGCTCTTATCAAGGCACTTAGTTACAGTCACAGGAAAGTTCCCCCTCATGAAGGCTGAGACCCAAATGACCCAGCTTACTGGGCTGGAACTGGCTGACAGGCCATATATTTGACACCCCTGTGTTAAATAATTCTCCCACCAGACTCTCCTTCCTTCACATGCTCTGCTCCCTGGGAAAAGGGCAGAGCAGTGCAGGGAAAAGTGGGTGGACAGAAGTGATCAGATATGTGCAGTGAGGGATGAGGTAGGGGCTTCAGGCATACTCCCCATAATCTTCCACATCTGTGTGCCACTGAGGTCTGTCCCCCTTCCCAAATAACCCCACTGTCTCCATATCAGTCCCCAAGTGCCTTCTGCATCCTCCACCTCCTATGAAGGAGAAGAGACAGAACATTTTTATAACTGCTCTAGTGTACTGTCACTTCGGTGGACCTGATGATCTACAAGGTCCCTTCCAGCCCCTAACAATCTATGAATCTATTAACAAAGACAGGGGTGGGCTGAGGAGGGTTGCTGAAATGTGACAGAAACAGCAGAGGACATGCTGCCTCCTGGCGTGTGCTGCATTCAGGACCTGGCCTGGAACCCAGGATTACTCAGACTCACCATCTCCATGAGCAAAATAAATGTCTCGCCCTTCTTTAGCACTGGTCTGTACAGGAGATAACAACCTTCTACTGCAACCAGTTACACAGAGGTCTGTGCAGTGGATCTGATGACCCTAGCCCTGCAGGTGACCCAGTCAATGGCATTC